AGGGCCTGTTGTCAGTGGAGCGAAACCCTCGGCCTTTCAACCTTCTTGTTGGTCTTGGCTTCAGATTGCATTCAACAGAGCACCTGTCAACAATCCGCAGCGGCAAGTTTTGGACAGCTATAAAGTCAAGTATCGATGTATGAATCGTAGGTGGTCCAGCTTGAGCTACTACGTAGCCCATCTTGCGGGTGACTTGGCCCCTGATCTATCCATGGTGTCAGACGCACTGCACGATTTCCTCATTCACAATTACCTGGAACCATACAGGATACATCCTATAATTCAAGACGCAGATGTACAGCTCCTTTAGCAAAGTTCAAAGTAAGCAGTTAAACAAGGGCTATTCCATGTTAATTTTGTGCTTTTGATAGTTTATGCGATTTCTTATTGTTGTGTCCTGTTACACGGAAATGGCTGGTTACACAAGGGCTACGGTCACGAGACCTAGGGAAAAGTCCCTCACCGACTTCTTGTATAAATAGACGTCTTCGGTCCCTCAAGGCCTTAAGGAAAACCAAGGACCTTTGATACCAAAGACTGTTATTAGTTGAATTGAGCTAAATTGCTCCAAGCCCTCTATTGAGCCCTTGTCACATGTCCCACAACACCACCCACAAGCATATTGGTTTCTGAGCCTTGTAGCACCTTTCAGCCAGAGGGCCACTCTATGTATCGATCCTGTCCTTAGAAAGATAAATGTGTTTGACACTTAACAGACCTGGGGGTTTGCCAAATCTTGTTGTATATAAAAAATATATAAGGGGTGCAGGCAAACCCAGGTGTGTGTGCCGAAATTGTCTGGTGGGACAAAAATGGATCCGCTGCACCAATAGCAAAACTCCATCGTTTTATTCGCTCCATCAAATGGCATTATGAGTTCCTAGGGGCGCACCAGTCTCAACGCTAGCGTCTACTTACCACATTGAGTAAGTCTACCCCCGGCAAGGATGCCGAGCCTCGTGTTTCTCCACAATCCCCAAGGCGGCGAATAGTTGCCACATGCAAGGTTTACCCCACACAGGGGCATTCTGGGGCTGAACTTCACGAGAGTCTAGAGCACCATTGTATGCGAAAGTATTGGGGGGCTCCCATTTTCTCTACAATTCGAATTACCTTTGATCCCGAAAGCTGGTGATGGGGTGCGGCAGTTGTGTTAGCCATCAGCGCCTTACTTGTTAGATATGATAAATGCCTTGCCTCCGACGTTTATGCAAGCCTCCAATAACACCTCTTCATCATCTTGCCCTTCGTCAGCGTCCTGCGCTCTCAAAACCCGTGGATTCAACACCAAGGTATTGAACAGTAACGCAACCTCGACATCATGTCAGAACTTTGCAAGACTCCGTCCAAGAGCTCCGCAACCATGGAGGCGGTTGAGGCAACTGGACAACCGAACGATGACCGCGCACTTGCGCAGTTGGGGTATGCTGCTGAATTACCTAGGAATATGAGCATGCTCAGCATCCTCGGACTCTCTTTCGCCATTATGTCTGTACCTCTTGGCATATCGACAACATGGTATATTTCTCTTACCGACGGGCAGTCAGTAACCGCCCTTTATGGTTGGATCTTGGTATCGTTGGTGTCCCTCTGCACCGCCGCCTCCATGGCCGAAATTTGTGCTGTGTACCCAACAGCTGGAGGCGTATATTACTGGTCTGCTATTCTGTCCACCCGTTCTTGGGCACCTCTGGTCAGTTGGATCGATGGCTGGCTTGGCCTGGTGGGCAACTGGACTGCGGCTTTGAGTATTAACTTTTCGGGCGCGCAAGTTATACTGAGCGCAATCACTTTATGGAATGAGGATTATGTCCCCAACCCGTGGCAGACAGTCCTTACTTTCTGGGCTTTGACATTTGTTTGTGTTCTGCTCAACCTGGCGGGAACCAAGGTTCTGGATAAGTTGAATCAGATTTGTGTCTACTGGACCGTGGCGTCTGTGATTATCATTATGATCACATTGCTTACTATGGCGGACGAGAAGCGCACCGCCGAATTTGTCTTTGCCCACTATGATGCGTCGGCCGCGGGATGGCCAAACGGCTGGGCGTTCTTCGTGGGCCTGCTGCAAGGTAAGGCCTTTTTTTCCCCCTTTCTACAGCGAAATTGAACATTGTCGTTTCCTGCTGTTGTGCCGAGTTCGTCTACATGATGCTAATCATTTGAACGAATAGGAGCATACACCCTCATTGGGTACGGCATGGTTGCTTCCATGTGCGAGGAAGTTCCGAACCCCGAACGCACTGTGCCCAGGGGCCTCGTCCTTTCTGTGCTTGCTGCAGGAATTACTGGTCTTGTCTATATGATCCCTATTTTATTTGTTCTGCCAGACGTCAAGACTCTTTTATCTGTTGCCAATGGCCAACCCATCGGCCTCATCTTCAAGACAGTCACAGGCTCTGCGAGCGGCGGCTTCGGACTCCTTTTCTTACTCCTCGGGATCCTCCTCTTTGCCGGAACAGGGGCCATAACTGCTGCATCACGCTTCACTTTTGCCTTTGCACGAGACAAGGCCATTCCTGGACATCATATCTGGAGCCGTGTGAATAAACGCCTTGATGTCCCCCTTTGGGCCCTTATCCTTACTGCCATCGTCAACGCCTTGCTGTCTTGTATCTACTTTGGCTCCTCGGCGGCCTTCAATTCGTTCACAGGTGTGTGTACCATCTGCCTCTCGACTTCCTACGGATTACCCGTTCTAGTGAGCGTGATTCGCGGCCGTCGTGATATGGGCAATTCGCCATTTAGTCTAGGGAAATTCGGGTTACTGATTAATCTGATCTGCATCACTTGGATTGGGTTCTCTATTATCATCTTCTGTATGCCAGTGGCATTACCTGTGACTGCGTCGACAATGAACTACGCAAGTGTTGTGTTTGCAGGCTTTGCGAGCATCAGCGTGGCATGGTATGTTGCATATGGGCGGAAACATTTCCACGGACCTCCAGTTCTAACTGCGGGGATGTAAGTTTGAGTCTTGGGCCTCCCTCGGATGTCGTGGCTTTACTTCCCCAGAGTTCGCTTTCAAGGGTCCGTACTGAGGAGGTCGCATAGACGACCTTGCTCGCATTCAGGTCGAGATATCTGGCTAGTTGAACTTCACTTTACTTTTGAGCTATCATATATGGTAAACAGCCAAGCGGCCAAATTAACAGCCAGCTGCATGATTTAATCCACCAAGTGCTGGTTACCGGCGCAGGTTACTAAACATGGCTTTATGAAGTATGTACAATTATTCTACCTCCATCCTATTCTTAAGATGCCAGTAAAACAGTCCTTTTATATTATTAATATTATTTGTGACTGACCCACACAGGGTTCTAACTACAAGATGTTATAATGTTGGCTGTCTCGGCAATCTAGGTGATTAGTGAAACGCATTTATCGCATAATCATGCTTCTTCGTGGCCTTGGTCTCTTCAAACGCCTTTATCACAGGAAGATTCCTAATGCTGGGTTGGGGAATCAAGGGAGAAACAGTGGGAAGCTGGCGATTGACTCGGCTTTCCTTGGACTGCTTCTTTATATTCAGTTGGCTGTAAAACAGCCCTCCCTCCGAACTCTCCAGCGACTTGCCTTTTGCAATACTCGGGGAGACGAAGTCGAAGACGACACCATAATGACAAGGGTGTTCTCCTTGCTGCCCTCCCACACGCACACACAACCGCCTTGTGTCCAACATGCGTTCCTACATACATCTTTTGTGTCAGGGAACTCTATACATGCAAGTAACGCACACATGACATGCGGGCTGTTGTCAATGGGTAATCAACGCTCAATGGCTCGTCGGCGTACAACGCGGCGCGGGAAATCAGTCGGCCTAGCACTCCGTATTTCCATTCACATTACGGTTTCTTCAGAGTTGGCAAAGGCAACCATGGATATGCAGGGGTCATCTATCTCCGTTATCCACTATTTCCACTACCATTTCGTAACTTTGCCGCAATTTGTTAGGCAGTCCTTGCCATGGGTGGTTCAACACGTCAAAGTCTCGGTCCAGGCTCGATTTGTCCAAATGAGAGCCAGCTGACCCGCGCTCAGGTCCTTCTGTCTGTCTCCAGGGACGCATGAAATTCCTATAGTTTAGCTCCTCCGTTTCAGGGAAGTTTTGGTTGATTATGTCGAGGTCAAAAATAACCAATGGCTCGCATCTAATGTAGTAGTTTGCCAGCAAATCAAACCATTCACTGTACCATTCGTCCCATCTGTGTTCCATGATTGTCATGCTCTAGATAGAAAATATATGCTCCATGTCGCGACTCCAAGGCATTGTGCATCGTCTCAATGTCATCTACTTCAATGACCATGCACCGTATCTGAGTTACCCATGGAGTCCTTGATATGTACGGCAAGGCATGCTGGCTGCAATGCACAGTATCGATTGCGAAGTTAACCCACGTCGGAATGCCGAGTTCCACACCCTCGCTCGACAATTCGGAAGAGCTGGGAGAAACTCGGTAAATATGGACAATAAGAAGCATCGGGACTGTCGGCAAACGCTGAAACCAGCCGGTGGCGAAGCCTTACATACCGTGTATATAACGGTGGACTCGAGCGCCACGGACTACCCTGAGTCGGAATAGCACTCTTAACCACCAACAAGGCTGTGGCAGCCCTTTTCCAAACTACTATGTGCATCAATACTTATGAGCTGGGTACTGGGGGTATTCAACCAAGTATTTTTGCTCCACGGCTCAACAATCTCCCCCATAACCGCCGCGACACTTGCATACTCTAAATAATCATAACATGACCACTATTTATATATAATTGCAATTTTCAAAATCGTCTTATAGGATTTTCCAAGATCCCTAACGAGCCATTAATATCTACCCTGTCACCGTATCCATCATATATCATTAGCGTTTGGAACAAATGCGGGATGCAATGTCTTCCTCTCATCCGCAGCCTCAGTAAAACAACTCGCGCAGACTGCTTAACAGCAGACAACTCTGCCACCATGATTTACGTTGAACTATTGTACCATCTTCTTTTCAATCTTACCGGCTGAACGACCTCACTTTTCTTCCGTCGACTAAAGCAACTGGTCCGTGATATCTGTGTCGGCCGACAAGAGCAAAATGCACCAGTGCCCCGATAAGGGCTGTTCCGAACAATACCGAGGACCAATTGAAATTTGTTGCAGTGACGGGGTATGACTCTGGCCAAAAGGCCCAGAAGAAAGTCCACAAGGCAAAGAGGACTGCGACTGCGTTTATCGGAATCCCATATCTGCCCAGGGAGAACTGAGCATGCGGGAGGGTCTCGGGGTAATAGATTCTTCTCCACAAGAAGCAGCCAATGCTTAAGCAATAGCATTGGAGCAGGGCCACAGTGAAGAGCGACGAAATGGCATAGAAGGCAACAGGACTGCCAAGGTAAATGAGCGCCATTCCAAGCGTCGAGATGCTGGTCAGAATGGCTGCGTTTTGAGGCACCGGCCGCTTTGGGTCAATTTTGGAGATCCAGTCGGAGAGCGGAAATCCCTTGTCGCGAGAAAACGCAAAGAGGTCGCGACTAGCAGCCGTGAGGAATGAAACGTTGGAACAGACGACAAGGAAATTGACGACGACAAGGACGCCAGTGACCCAATTCGTCGACATGGACTGGCGCAGCACGTAGACAACCGGGTAACTTGTGTTGTCTTTGAGAGCAACGGCAATGTCGGGAAGGTGATATACAATCGTCACCAGAAGGGGCAGTGTCAACAAAAAGTTGGACACGAAGACTGCCAACATGGCCTTGGGAACAGACGTGGCCGCATTTCGAACTTCCTCGGATATGTGTACACCCTTGTTCATAGTCAGTCAACCGATTTTGTTAGATATAGGGGGCTCCTGACATACCACATCAGCGCCAACCAGAAAACCCGCACCGGGCGCCTGGCCGATCAAGACGGCAAGGGTCAAACTCGGCCATCCTCCAGAGTTCTCAAACTCTGTCCATACCTGCTCCGACGTGGCTTTTGGCCCATTCACCCAGACAGGGATAATAATGGCAAAGTAGGCCAGTACGTGCAAGGCAAATGCGATGTTTTGCCAGCGCGGCAAAGACCGATGACCCCAGACGCTACCAGCAAAGGCTGTTACAACAGCCGCGACGATGAAGAGAAACACGTGCCATGACGGGCTTGTATAGTCTGGGTTGTTAACAAGAATTATGGTCTGGATTAAAGTTCCTGTTAAAAGAATGCCAATGGCTTGACCAGCTTGCATCGCCAGAGTCGATGTCCATCTATCAATGCTGGTCAGACGCTTGTCACGTTTTGTCGGGAATTACATTACGCACCCGCTCACGTAACTGAGAAGTCTTTGCATGCTCTCCGGTGCAAATTCGCTGACCCAATGGTACTGGGCACCGGCAATGGGGGCCATGCTAGCCATTTCAGCCATGCTCAGATAGATGGGCGTGAAGCCGACGATGGCCCAGATGGTCGAGTATAGCAAGCCCGGCCTGCCACCATCCAGGAGGGCAGGCGTGATCTGGAACATGGCACACTCCCAGGCCGCAGTAGCTACTGCGGCAAACGAAGCAACTGAGAACATGCGAAAATTTCGGACGAGTTCCTGGCTTCTTCCCATGCGGCGCATGTCGGCAGCGTCGGCGGCTGTGGACTTTGTCAGTTGACAGTCACGCTCGGCATCTTCAATTACAGCGTCATTGGCTCCATTCTTGTTGTCTCTTGGAGTGCACAAGGTCAAATTGTAATGATAACTGGACTTGTCTCCAAACATGCTGTCGTCCAGTTCAATTGATGCGTCATTAGGACGGTAGACAGACCCTGCCTTGTCAGTCATGATGACGGTAGAGGACAATAAAGGCAAAAGAATATCCAAAAAGTGCGAAAGAAAGTCCGGTAGAAGAAGAATCTCTGAATCGAGAAAACAAGACGAGAAAGAAAGAAAGAAAAACCAAGTGGATGTGATGGCGACTGAAACATCAAGTTGAATAAGGCTTTACACGGGAGCCTACCATGGTCGTCTGCTACCCCGGCACCAACCACCACGTTCGAATGGCCAATCCGGGCGCCAAAAGGTTGGGCGCGACAGAAGAAAAGTTTTGTAAACAGTCCAAGCTTGCATAATGTGCCACGAGCCACATTCTAATCTCGCCGCAAATGGCTCTGATCTGGTCACACAACATGCATTACCCCATAATGGAGAGACATTCTTGGTTCAAGCTCTTCCCCTCATTGGAGATGACTCCCCACAGAGTAAGCAGCTTGGGATTTTAGTATTTCCATTTGCCCCCTAAAAGCAGGGTCTCTGCTCCAACTGAGGTGTGAGATCGTCACCCTCGACCGTTTTAGGCACGAGCACAGCACCAACCGCCCAAAGCTCTTTGTTGATGTGGTTGTCGTGATGAAATGTGTCTTTTGGATACTTTTGCGATCTATCACAGGTAATGCTGAGCTCTTCCTTCTTGATAATTGTTGGTCGCGGCTGTTCTCAACTGCCGAACAATGCCGCACAGGGCAACCGGCGACCATGTTTGGGAGAAGGGCAGATAGCGATGAAGTGCGCTTGTGGAATATCGTGACAAAGACGACTGAAGTGTCGCGAAGGCCATTGTCTCCGTGGCTGTTATGAAGGGGGCTTGAAATGGCTTGAAATGCGCTCATTCTGTGCATATATATCATCTGATGCTTCCTGCTTGTGGTCTCCGTGTGTTGAACGTAACTCCTTTTACCAAACAGTTTGGCCTTCTGGTGTGACAATGGCGGAACCGGAAAATCATGGAAACTGGCTTGTCTGTGCAATGACCATTGTATGGGTTTGGTCGACGTTGATTTTCTTCGTTCGTGTTTGGGCAAAAGTCACTGCCAAACGCTGGGGTGCTGAAGACTATACGATATCCATTGCGTTTGTAAGGTCATCCCGAAGACACTTTGATTATAGATCCCCTCTCACCTGTTCCGTTATAGTTGGTCTCTACAATGGATATTGTGCCGATAATGTCAGCAATTCATCGAGGATACGGTCTGCCAATGGACGTAATTCCACGCGAGGATCAACTTGTAGTTGCACAGGTGCGCAACCATCCTTCAATATAGTCTCTGTCAAAGTGTCTTCCAAGCACTAATACGCGCAAAGTCTCTCTACGCCAGTCAGCAACTCTACATCTTCGCCTTGGGACTTTCCAAGATATCTACGGCACTATTTGTCATACACTTGGCGTATTCGGGTCCCCAGATTAGACCAGGTTATGTTCTGGTAGGGGTCACCGCGATATGGACAGTAGGCTCTATGCTTGTAGTCGCCTTGAGAGGCCACCGGCGCCATCCGTGGCAAACGCTGGATGGAACGACAACCATGGTGAGCGTGCAAATCTGCGAGAGCGCCTATTCTATACTCCTAACAATCATCAAAGTATATCCGGTGGATCGTCGTAGAGGCTACCGGTCTCATTATCGAGTTTCTCTTGATCCTACTGTCCCTGAGTCTCGTCAGCAGCTTGCAACTCAAGGCACAAAAGCGCCTTGTCATCTTGTCTGCTTTCGCTGCTCGCTTATTGTATGCTCCAGCTCTTCTAGTCCGCATGTCGGCCCAGTACTTACGACCAACAGGCTGATTCCTCTCGTTGCCGCGCGGCTCTGGTTACTCTCGCCAGGCGTCAACGCGAATCCGACTGACACGAGCATTGTACCGAGCATAATCACCCAAGCCACGCTGCATTTCTCTGTCCTGTCCGCATCCATCACATCGCTCCGCCCCTTTTTGCGAACATTTCATATGGACTACAAATGGGACAGCAAAGCGACGTCAAAGCGCAACTACTCTTCCACGGGGTATACGACAACAGGGCCCTCGGCAAAAAATGTACATGGAACTTCTTCACAGAGCGGCCAGGCTGATAGACACTGGGCGGACGATTTCACGGATCCGTCTGGGACAGAAGCCCATTTCCTAAACAGGCCATCGACAGGAGGCACGACGAGAAACAACGATGGCATATTAGCGTGGGCACATGTCGACGAGATCCAAACGCGCCCACCGTTCCCGGCAAAGGCAATGTTCATTCGGAAGACGGTGGATTGGACAGTGGAGTATGAGCCAAATACAAATTCTGACGCTGTAGGCAATTATGGGAATACATGACGAGATGTGAGCGATCAACAGGCGGGTTGCCGCAAAACGACCAAAGTTTATTCCTATACGGTATCTGGACGATCTAGACGTAATATTATGCATGATTTAATGAATTCCACTTGGCATATCTCCGACAACGGGTTTTCACGCAATCTATGTTGACCAGTCTTTTCATCATTGTCCAATTTGATCAACTACCAGGCAGCATGACATGAGAGTCCTTGCGCAGAGTCAAATACAACGCTCGCAATTTCCTCTTTGTTTCTTGATTGCCATTGCCGACGTTGACTTTGCTTCGCAAGTCTTTAACAGTATCAGCACGGTCCGGGCTCTCGATTGTTCTGAACTCGAGCCGCTCGGGCCAGTGGCGAGCCCAGGCTTCCTCTCAACGCCTTAGCATATCCAACGAGACTGGATGAAATAAACAAATGCGGCGAACGTCTCCTGCGTGTAAAAGCAAGCCCGTCTGCATGTCTGGCGTGAGGTAATTAGCCCGCTCAATGGGGGAAAATTGGCGCTGCATCAACTTCTTTTGTGTCGGAAAGCCATGTCTGAGAGACATGGCCTCCGATTGGCACCTTCATGGAGCAGGCCGTCTATCTGGATGATCTTTGCCGTAAAACGGTCAATTGAGTCAGCCCTCTTCATTTGCAAATGCACGTCTGCGACAACAACGTCGAGCAAGTCCGGCCAACAATGGTGCGGTCAGAATCGTGCTACTCTCGTGCTCGAGAATCGAGGCGCCGTAACAATCGATCAGGATTGCAAAGCTGTTTCTGAGACACTGCCCCTACTTGTCAATAGCTTGATCTGTTTATGATGATTGAGGTGAAGTACTTGGTCCCATTCTTTGAAATGATTGAAGTGGTGGACCGTGTTTGTGCCATTTCGTAGATGGGTGACCCAATGTGTAGCAAAATAGACGGACGGACTAACCACAATAAATAGGTATTTAGGAACTCTTTGTAGTCTGTAGCCAGGTACCTTTGGCCAATGAATTGAACGCAAAAGGCGCAAATACGAAGCCATTATCGCCTCCCAAGGGAACTGTTCTGAAAGCAGGCCCTCGTATAGGGTAGGTGCCAAGTTGCGTCTGGTCAACTGGTAGAAACAGATCAACGGGTCACGGAACCATGGAAGACTGTGAACGTTTGAGGCAGACCTGAAGCCTACACAAGCACAAAGTCACATTGACTTGATTGCCCTGCGACGGCGACAATGTAGAATAACCCTCTCACCTGCTACTTTACTCGGCAAATAGATGCAGCTTATTTATCAGATGAATGCACCAGACTCTTCTCATGGACAACATTCGGGTGGGTCCGAAAGCCACACAAATCCACCACATTTTCCCACGGTCGGAGTAGAGTCTCTAGACTTCTACCAACCCTTTCTCACGAATTGCCATCGCCCTCGCAATGACACAATCGAAATCAGCAAAGCGAAAGAGAAAGGCACAGGCCCAATTACCCAAGAAGCATGCCAAAACAACAACCATCGTGACACCACCCCCCGATAGTGATGCCACGCAGTTTGAACCAAAAAACCTGCAGACGGTCATTTCGGACGAAGAGCTCGACATCACCATTGAGACGTTGACAACCCTAGCGCAATATCCAAGCCTTACAAAGTCGAAGCTGTGCAAAAATCTACGAACCGCCGTCTACGATTTCCGGCAGTCATGTACCACGGGCGTGAACTCGGCCGAGGGCGCAAACCTCACCGGTCGCGTCACAGCGGCGCTTGCCGACGAGAAGTACCTCGAGGCCAAGATCTTGCTGGCTGAAATGCGACTGCGAGGCGAAGAACCGAAGCTGGGTGCTCTTTGTCGCTGGGTTCGGGATCTGGATGTTGTTACGCAGCCCAAGGGCGCGAGCATCGTCAACCCCAACCGCTCCGACAAAGAGAAGGAACTTTTGGAAGTTCTGGATGCTGTTATGCGCGTCAGCTGCCCGATTGATACCAACCCAGAGGCAAAACCTCCTTCCCAATCGTCCTCTCACATAGCTTTGCAGCCTACCTGGGACTTGCGACCATCCACAGAGCCGCACCAAGTCTATGCCTCGGTCCTGGACAAGTCAATCCTGTCCTCTGGGCCCGACTCGCCCTCCTCCTCTCTCCGCATTATCGAGACGACGCCCGGACACCTCCGCAAACCGCCGAACCATCATCCAGCCATTTTATACACGACAGAACCAAACGCCGTTGACCTGTCTTCGGAGCACTCAGGAATAACATATCATGAGCACCCCAGCGTTCCGCACCTTGGCCTTGCCACTGGTGTCCTTTCGCCAGAGGAATGCAAGGCCGTCATTGCCACAGGAGAGAGTGTCGGCTTCCTTCCCGACATACCCGTTCGAGAAGGCGAAGATACCAGCGTACTGGCACACAACTTCTACTGGGTCGTAGACGCGGCGTTTCACGATAAACTCTGGGCACGCATGGCGCCTTTTGTCCCCGCCTCGCTCAATGGCCGTCGTTCCCGCGGCGTCAACAGACGGTTCCGCGTCTACCGTTACGTTCCTGGGGCCGAGTACCGATGCCACATAGACGGGGCATGGCCGCCTTCCGGTATTCGCCCCGACGACACCTATGTGTACGACGATTCCCCTGCAGACAAGAAGCAAAGTTCCCTATTCACGTTCCTGCTGTATCTCAATGATGAGTTTGAAGGCGGCGAAACAACATTTTACATACCGGGACAGCGTGAGGGGACGCTCAATGCGTATCCTGTGCGTCCGGTCATGGGAGGCGTTGCAGTGTTCCCCCATGGCGAGACCAAAGGAGCATTATTGCACGAGGGGACAAGCGTACGCAAGGGAGCCAAGTATATCATCAGAACGGACATTGAGTATGATGTTGAGGCGTCCGAGGAATAGGCATGAGAGGAATTGGACATGAATTATGACTTTTGATAAAGCTATTATCTTGAGGACACCGGTATTCAGGAATTTAGGGCGTATACGATGAACCATGATCTTGAGTCTTGCAATTTAGCACTCTGGACTCAAGCTCAAAATACCCGAATCGCGTAGGAAATGTGGTTTTATTCGCCCATGGACGAAGAATAGCATGGTCCGAGACTGCATGCTCCAGGAAGGAGACCTTGGAACGAGCTCAGATCGGAGGCTACAAGCCCAGTATAACTGTTGAAGTGCGACCATGGCCGCGCTGCATGGTATGAGTAGGGACATCATGTACCTCGAGCACGAATTCACTAGAACATATAGAAGCGACTATAGAAGTGGTACCGTGACTCTCTGTGTTAGTCTGCTTATGACCAAGTCCGAAATACTTGGCAATAGCGCCAACAAGGCAAAACTAGCTACAGCATTTCTTCGCCAACCAGGCACCGAAAAGCTGGCCAAGCCTCAAATTTCGCTCCTTTGAAGTACCTAGCAGCTGAAATCCTGATTTAAGCTCATTTCAGCCAGGCCATCTAATAATAGAGCAGTCGATTTGTGCCTAGTAGCTACAGGATCATGCAAAATAACGCCCTCAGCCGCAACCTCTCATGATGAAGCATAACTGTAAACATCCTACTACTTGTCAACAAGGACTAGCGCTTATTCTGCCGCGTGCCCATCTCAATCGACATTGTAGGTGCGGTTGATTCCAACAGGCATAAAAGACTTGTTTAATTGTTCATGTACATGACGCCTTTCCCATCTTGACATGTCATCATACCAGTTCAGCGGGGCCAAACACATTGCTGCGTTTCCGCTGTCGAGCGCCGCCGAGGGCGACTTCTCCAAGCCGCCCGTGAACTTGCAGCAGCCGGTGATTAATGGACTGTCGGGTGTGTTTCAGGGATACGCTGCCTACGGGCAGCATCTGTACGTGCTTACGGGGACGTTGTACGAAAATAGTGGTGGCAAGGTCAACTCGGAGTTTACGAGCGCGAAAATGAAGATAGGTCCGGTAGGATTCAGCAGGCGCCGCTTTTGACCAAGGCTGGGGGATCGCCGTCGTTCCGTGAGCCGAGGGCATGGCGGTTTATGCGACGGCGTCTGGGGAGCCAAGGCTGTTTCTGGGCTTTGCATCCGGGGTCAGGACCGGGTAGCGCCGGTCGAATGTGTTTTATAAGAATGGGCTGGTAAAGAAGTGAAAAGAGACATGGGGGCCTTTTGGTTTGTATTTAGAATATAAGAGTTTATATATATTGTCAACGGAATACGAAGGGGATAATGGTGAGGCGATTAGAGCATGCTCTCTTGTTTAGACACAGGCACACACACACACATAAATATATAGAAAAAGATACTCCATCTTTCTGTAGAATAGCCTACAGTAGAAGGAAAAGATGTGCATAGATAGTATTCTCTAACAAAGCTAGCATACATATGGCAGACGGTGGATCGGGGAAATTCACTTTGCTCATACAAATATTGATGCTTTTTGAAAAATCACACACTTTCCACAATGGCCGCGACTTTATACGCCAAAGAACGTTCCGCTCCTCTTAGGCATTATTGCGAAATCCATCATGCGTTGCACGGAGGTCACGTAGCATCGCGGCACAGACCGACGCTCGAATCCGAGGATAGTTACACAAGGAGTCGGGACCAAGTTGATACGCCGATTCTTATGAACTGACACGGCTTGTCGCTGCTTTCAGGTTTTCAGCATGAGGGGCTGGCATCTGAAGTTACCATCACGGACGTAGTCATAAAAACTACTATCCCACTTCGAGCAGGGGTTGGATTTGGGCCCTTTGACGAACGTATGGAGGCCAAAGCATCTTCTGGTCGTTCATCACTCGATTCTACTCCACCAAGCAACGTCGGTAGGTAGTCACCTAGGCTGCATCGCAGAGATTTGTCAGCCAACATTGAAGTCATATGAATCCACAAGTCATTCCATTCCTCTATCCACTGTCCAAATCCAAATTCATCTTCAAAAATGTTAGCCCGCCGGTACCATAGCCCAAAACTATCATATCATCATGCAGAGCTACACTTGTAGGCCTGTAGTCCTTGGAAAGCCAAAGTAGGTTCCTGCCGTTGAGAGTTATCCACTCCCCACAAACACATGGAGCATGCTTTGGACGCTCCTTTTCCAATAACCCGAGAAACAACTGTTGGTGCGCTCCTGCGACCTCGTCCCAGAGTCGGATGGTACTGCCATCGTCTGAAGCCGAGGCGGATATCTTGCCGTCGGGCGACAGCGCCATGGGAGCCGAATCACCCCCCTGGATGAGCTGCCACTGCGCTCCAGTGGCCACGTCCCAGAGCCAGGGAATGCCATCGCTCAAACTCAACGCAACTACTTTGCCGTCGGGCGAAAAGGCGATAGCCTTGACCTCACCGCTATACCCATCAAGGGTTTGCTGGTGTGCCCCTGTAGCTACATTCCACAGACGAATAGTACAATCATCTGATGCTGAGGCAGCCACAGAACCATCAGGGGAAAAGGCAATAGCCTTAATATCACTGATGTGGCCCTGGAGTATCTGCTCGCAACTCCCCGTAGTAGCATTCCACAGCCGGACATGGCGGTCGCTAGAAGCTGATGCAAGCATTTTGCTACATGGAGAGAAGGCAACTGTATTGACAGAACCATTATGCCCCTCAACTATTTGCCGGCACTCTCCCGTAGAGGCGTCCCAGAGCCGAACGGTGCAGTCACCTGAAGCTGAGGCGACTATCGTACCGTCATATGAGAAGTCGATTGCGTTGACGCAATGAGTATGGCCTGTGGGTGTCTGTCTATACGCCAGCGAAGCCACATCCCACAGCCGGACGGTCCCGTCGGCCGATGCGGAGGCGATAATCTTGCCATCAGCTGAGAAGGCAACGTCGTTCACTCGATGACGTCCGTCGAGTGTCTCACGTAACACACCCGTAGTAGCATCCCAGAGCCGGATAGTACAATCGTGTGAAGCCGAGGCGATCAACATGCCGTCAAGCGAGAAAATAACAGCATTAATCCAGCTACCATGTCCCTTGAGCGTCTGTTTATGCGCTCCCGTGGTAGCATCCCAGAGTCGGACAGTACAGTCCCCGGACGCCGAGGCGACTATGCTATCATCAGGCGAGAACGTGACTGCGTTGATGGAGCGGGAATGCCCTGTGAGCGTTTGTTGGTACGCTCCCGTGGTCACATCCCAGAGCCTGACTGTCCGGTCAACTGAAGCCGAGGCAACCAACTTGCCATCATGCGAGAAGGCAACTGCAGTAACTGAGCGACGATGCCCTTCTAGCGTCTGTTGATGCGCTCCCGTGGCCGCATCCCAGAGCCGAACTGTATGATCTCCCGAAGCCGAAGCAATCATCTTGCCATCAGGAGAAAAGGTTACGCTGCTAACCCAATATTTATGCCCCTCGAGTGCACACCGGCATGCCCCGGTGGCCGCAACCCACAACCGGATGCTACAGTCGCTTGAAGCCGAGGCAACCATGCTGCTATCAGGTGAAAAGGCGACGGCACAGACATTGCCACAGTGTCCAGAGAGCGACCGCCGGCATGTTCCCGTGGCTGCATCCCAGAGCCGGACGGTGCTGTCGCTGGAAGCCGAGGCGATTGCGTTATCATCGGGTGAAAATGCGACAGCCTTGACCTCGGAGCCATGTCCTTCAAGTATCTGCCTGTGAGCGTCCCAATGGTTTCTGACACCAGCAACTGTCTGGATAAACGGCAGCCTCTCTTGCCAATGCGCCTGTCTGACCAGACTCTTCATGGGACTAAACACGAGCGCAGAGCCAAACGCCTGCAACGGGGCTCGTTCAATGATGGATCCGTAGCTGCTGATAAACTTTTCAGCATCCTCCAAGAACGCTGCAAGCTCGCAACATGACCCTGATTCCTGAACGCCATCAGCAAATAGATGTAGTGATAACAGTCTTGATCATACCTGTGCAGCGTGCAGAAGCCTCCGCACTGACAAAACCCCGTCTGGGAGCCTCCCCATGAGTGACAACGCTTCAAGCCAGTGGAGGAAATGTGCCTTGAGAAATTCCAACACTGACTCTCTGCTACACTCGAGACCCGAGGCGCTCAACATGTGGTCTACCCAGAAGGTGCACGAGTACCTTATTGGGGCCAGCGGGTCTGGCTCGGGTGGTTTCAAATCGTCTGGCTTCAAGCCGTAGTCGAGGTCGTACATGTTCCGACGAAGCACCACGGACATGGCTTCAATTGAGCGTTGAGCAATGCTCGCATGTCCCGGGACATCTCCAGCAGACTGGAGCCCAGCCTTGAATGATTCCAACACATAATCCTTGGCGGACTGGTGGATGATGAAGACCTTGTCATCTCTCGTCATCAGAAACGAGCCGCATTCCTCCACAATGGTCGGCAGGTCAATCCCAGGTTCGACGCCGGCCACGACACCAAGCTCGGGGAGGGAGAGCGGGCGATGGGCCAGAGACGCGGCAACCAGGACGTTCTCGCAACACTGCCGGTCCATTGTGTCCTTCTCCATCTTGCCCATCATTTGCCCATACAGGTTCGGCAGCCCGGGAGGTGTCCTTTCAAGGACACGGGTGGCGTTCCACCCGTATTCCGAGTCGAGCATTTTGAAGACGAGGGCGACCCAAAGAAAACTGTCTTCAGCTCGCTCGTGGAGCTGGTCCGAAATCTTGGCCATGACAGCGTCTGTATACCCCTTTCGCGTCCGGAGCTTGGAGAGCTTGCGGGTAATGTATTCGTGAACGGGAGCGTCTAGCCTTTCGGCATCGAGCTCGACCGCGGAACATGCCGTGCCCGGAGCCTTGATCTCGAGCGCCGGATCACTAGTGACGATCCATTTCACCTTGTCGGACAGCGTCAGGGAGGCTGAAATGAGTTGAACAAGGTCACTTTGCCCCTCCTCACACTCGTCAAGTCCGTCGACGGCGAAGAGGGCTGGTGAGAGACGGGGATCTTGGAGCATATTACGAAACACTTCTGATAGAGCGTAGAAAGCATTTTGGTCTTTGAAGAGATTCTCACCCGACTCGTTGTATCTTTGGCGTAAATGTGAGCCGAGATGTGGCTGTTGAAGGATCAGAAGCCACAACAAGGATCGCAGGACGGCCGTTGCGTTATTCAAGGCCGTGTCCTTGCCTTGACAGAAAAAGTACGAGAGGCTGGGTGCGAGAATGGCAGGCTGGCAGGACAGCTCGCGAATGATGCCAATCATGAGCATAGTCTTGCCCGTACCCACGTGTCCCTTGATCCATAGCAGTCGGCTTGGTGAGGATTCAAGGCTGCCATCGTACCAGTTTGTGAATGCGGTGTATTCCCGGGTTCGAAAGATCCAGTTGTACGCACCGTCGATGAGCCCATCCTTGCTTCTCTCAATCCTCTCCATGTCATGCTGTGGGTCGACGACGCGCAGATCTTTTTGGCAGGCTGCGTCCATGTCATCCCTACGGATGGTTTTCTGCAGAGCAACAAAGTCTTGGAGGGTCTGGTGAATGTCGCCTAGCAAGTCCTGCATGCCTTCTGCCCTCTTGGCAAGTTCTCCCAGAACCTCCTTCTCGCGCAGCTTGTTGTACTGATCCGAATCCATTCGGAGAGATTTTTCGGCGGCTTGAATAGACTTCACGTCGGCGTCCCAGTCATCCAAATTCACGAGGTCGCGAAGAAGACTATAGCCTCGGTTTCGGTAGTAGGAGCAGACGCTTCTCATCTGATATAGAAGAAGAGACTTGTACAGATCGACAACCTTGGCCTCTAGTTGTTGTAGGACGTTTTCGCACGCGCTATCTGTAATACTCCCATCTCTGATATTGATGCTGTCCTTTTTCAGCAAATGCTCGGTCAAGGCGCAATACCAATCCATTCTGGAAATCACATATGTGATGCCAGATAGATTGGATGCTGTCGCTTTTGCGGGGTTCAAGAGAATCTGGATGGATGCGGTTAATGGACGTCGGGGTTCAAGTAGGCATGCTCACCTGCAATCCAATGCAAACGCCAGCCCACGGAAGAGCGGCCTGCGGTATGTTTTGGATGGCCAGATCAATCATTGCCTTGGCCGAGAGGCAATACTCGGCAATATCACTCACTCCCTGCCTGATCCGCGAGGAAGTGGTAACCCTCGCCAGTCCTTGTCGAACCAAGTCCTTCATGCAGTCCTGCCGCCTGGTGGGATCGTTCAGTTCGGCGGAATCATGCTGGCCATCTCCGAGAACAGCCATCAGGATCTTGGCATAAGACTTGACAAGTTGCGCCGTGTCACTCCCCCTCTCAAGGCTTTCATAGGAAGCATGCCAGACTCTTTGGGATGTGGACATGGCGGCGTCAGCCTGTTGTTGTTGGAATTCGGCCATGGGGGGCCCTTTGATTCGAGATTCGACAGACGGGGCCAGCAGGGCCACTGTTGGTGCTACGGCCATCCTGGCTTGCTTGTCTGTGCCTGGCGAAGAAGATACTGATCCTTCCGAGACGTGTTGAATACCCGGCTGCTCCGAGTCTCCAGAAGGCGTGTTTGGGTAGCGTTTAACGCCTGCGTCCGGTCTCAACCTACCTGCCCTCCTGACAATACGCTGCGCCATCTCCTCGCTCGCAGCCTTGAGCTGTGCCTTGACGAAGCTGACGACGGCTATGCTGCATTGAATCTCGATATCCTCCCGCAGGTAGAGCCCGTCGGCGGGTGCACCGAGCGAATCGAGCACAGTATCGCGCGTCTCGGCCGGTTCCTCGCCCATTTGGTTTCCCGTGATACGATATTCATTGCGTAGGTCAATATTCATTGGTGCGTAAATGTGTGTTTGAAGGCCCCATGGCATATTATGGAAGCAGCCTATCAAGGAGATCTTGCCTGATCCGACCTTGCCCACCCATGGCATATATTGGATACGCTCCTCAATCTCGTACCAAGTGTTGTAGTACTCGTCGGCAGTGGCTGTACGCGGCGCAGGGATGGGTCGGTGATGGACGACGAGAGGGTTGAGGGTGATGACCTCGTCGTGCGCGTGGAGGATATCGATGGCTAGCTGACGTGGTATGTCGCCCGGGATGGGCGTCAGCACAGAAAAGGTCTCCTTTTTTTGTGGCATTTCTAGTCTCCCCGGATTTCCACTAGACTCTGTTCCTTGGATACAGGCAAGCTTCAGGCCTCACGTTTCGGTAAACGTCTCAACTTTGGCTTCAATGTTACTTGTTGCCGCGAGTAGAGGGCGGTGTGGAGTGACTTGTCGCCGAGTTGGCCCATAACGGCGGGAGGGTTGATGCACGATGATGATGAGGCCAACATTGAAACCTGTTGTGTCAAAAGAGTAAAAGTGTAGGCCTGCGGAGTTATCCTCGGGAGCTTGAATAGCTTATATGCTTTTGACGTGACAAAACCAGGGGCGAGCGAGTGAAAAGGTGCTGCCGAGGCAACGACAAGGCCTCGCCTGAGCCTGAGAAGCTTGCTCTTCCAACCAGACAGCACCGTTTCCTCACACTGGCGGCTGAAAGCTGAAAAAAAGCTTTCTGCCCTTCTGCCAACCAGCTGCCAACCAGCTGCCAACATGCACACCACCAACGACGCCGATGCGGTAGTTGCTTCTGCCATTTGGCGCCACACTGGGCAACGAGGCTGATGTTCGCTTAGGTTGGCTGAGTGTTAAGACAAGGTTCGTGCCTCCAAATCTTCTGGCGCCGAATCATGGCATCTTCCACCAGACTACAATGTACATGACACTACACGGAAAGCGAGTAGTAGCGATAAAGTTTCAACTGTAACTTTAGCTAATATATTTACGTATATTTTAATATATTTATATAATAAATAAAAATATAATACGCACGTATAACTAATTTTATTACTAGCCGTAAGGTTTAGGGCTCCTAACATATTTTTACTCCGATATTATTATTCTAAGCTAGAACCGTGCCACGTGTATATCACGTGCACAGCAACTACATATACTTCCCCTGAATAGGCCTCCGCTTTGCTGGACAACAATAAATTGCATCAAGAGAACCAGACCTCACAAACCGTCCATGTCAACCGCCCACTCCTGCTATAGCTCCCGAGCTTGTCCTCCGAGTTCGTGCACTACGTCATCCTGACTCCTCACTGAAGGACAGGTTAGTCTGCAACTTGCATGTGGTCTTGCCCTCACTCGCAGCATCGAGGTTCAAATGTTGAAGTCAAAGTCGTCTCCCTCATTTGCAGCATCGAAGTTGAATACATAGTCCTGCCCCTCATTCGCAACATCCAAGTTCAAGAAATAGTCCTGCCCCTCATTCGCAACATCAAAACTCAAGCCTTGCCCGTCATACGCAACAACGACGTCGGTGGGATTGTGCTGGTAAGATTGCGCAAGGTCGGCTGGGTGGCCTGGGATGGGAGGGGGATTGGGGTTGAAATCCTCTTGTACGTTGAGTCCTCCTACTGCGGCCATGAAAAGAGCGGCATTACCGGCCACATCGTCGGGCGCCGGTGTCTCGTAGGGTGGAGGAGACGGCGCTTCGGTAGGCTCCTCGTAACCCGAGTATTTGTGGCGACGCACCCAGCCGCGCCCATCGTCATAGTATTTGACTTCCCACCTGTTGATCGGCACCATTTCATGCTCGAGGGTCGACCGGTTGTGAGGGGCTGAGGCAGCCAGCATACAGAGCCACCACAGCGCGAGATCCGTCGTGAGCTGTTCCGGGCCTCTTTTGGACCATGGGACCGGCATAAGAGCGACTTTGAACCTGCCAAAGCGGTAGGTGGGATCCTTAAATATGGTGTAACGGCACGCGACGAGTGCGTGATCTGTCATGATGTAACCGTATCGAGTCTTCGCAGTGTGACATAAGTTGGCAAGTTGTCCCAGCGCCCACATCTGATCTGTCGTTGTGAGATGAGAATCATCGACCACCACGCTCGCCGGAAATCTGCTGTGGGATTTCACGAGGCCCACTACGAGATTCGTCAACGGGTGATCGTCAAGTGCGATAACGTGGTCGACAGCGGGTGCCCCCTTTGCGGGTTCCGTTCTGATTCTGGCCCGGGTTGACCCGTCGTGAGTAGTGACATCGTTCAGGAGGGAGACGCCCGTGTCGATGCCAAGGCTTTCTTTTGTAAATTTTTGGGCCATGTCGATTACACGGCTATTCCATTCGATCAGAAGCCGAATATGGTTGACTTTGGAAATCTCGATTTTGTTATTCGGCAGATCTGGGGCTAGGATGCCTCCAGGACCTTCCCGGTTAAGAATATGGCCGTAACTCTCAACAAGGGATTCAAGGTTGAACTCGCTCCATTCAGCGATCCCATCATGCTTCGGTAATGGCCACCGGCCTATAGTATTCTTGGATGCTGTATATTTCATGCAAGAGATTTGTGGCTTCGCTTGGGTTAAAATAGCACGCAAGCTAGTCGAGTTTCGATCACCAGGTGCTGCCATTGTGGCGACGCGGTATGCCGTGGGCGATGCGGGCTTAGCTCTAGTATGAGAAGAATATTTGAACAAAGAAGTAAGGGGTAAAGTATTCTCTGTGCAGAGGCCAGACATGAGGTGGCTACATGTCTGGTTGCCTGAAATTAGAACAAAGAAGATATCTGGATGGCTATTCGTTGCGGCCCAGGTCGCACAACATAAGTTGGCCGCTGTATTGCAGCGGACCAACACGCTGGTATTTTTAGAGCTAACATAAATTACTACACGTGGCTTTTCTAGTAGTAACTTATATATTCTATATTAAATAAATATATGTTAATATATTAAAATATATATAGCTTAATCAGGCTTTTTTAGGCTTAGCTAATATATAATATAACTATATATAATTAGTATCCTAAAACTTAGAACTGATATTCCCTTATTCACCGCCCGTAAGGAAATAAGAACCCGTCTTTCAGGTACCACTGTAAAAACATCCCCGGAAAATCACCAGATCTCACCATGCCCGCAACATTCGGCCGAAATCGGCAATCATAATGCCACAAAGATGGCGTACAAGTCAGTGGTTTGCGTCTCCTGGAGGTGGCCCCCCGTCGTGGAGAGCCCTCGCGCGCCCGACCATTTGATAACCGTGCTGATCTACGCCGTCCCATTACATCACTGCCGTTTGTCTTCAGATTCGCCCCGCATGCCCTCCAGTCATACGATCTCGGGTCAACGTAGGTGAAGATGCGCTCCCTGGCTGCCTTATTTCTCAGATTGTACTTCAGCCCACAGCCACGACCACCAGGAAATGCGGTGATGGAGATGGGGCGCGCCTTGCCCCCAAACCGGTTCCACTCGCGAATCATGTCGTCAAAACGCTTATAGTCGCTCAGTGCCTTGTCAAAAGTCGTAAACTCCATCAGTGATACCATTTCGGCCGTGAGATGAGGGTTCATCTCCGGAGTCGTCAGGAAATGGGGAGTCGTGATGGCGGTGCTAAAGTCGCACAACTTGCCACTGACAATCTGCACGTCCATGACATCAATGCCGATGATGCCGAGCTTCTGCATTCTGATGATGTCGCGCAGGATGCTGCGAGCAACCGCCGGCCGCAAGTTCTCCTCATCAGGCACACCCAACTCCTTGACGATGCCGCGAATAGGCGGCGGCCTGCCGCTCTTTCCCACAAACCGCCAGCGCACATCATCTGGTATGGAGGCATCGATGGATCCGTTGAAGTCCAGGCACACGCCGCTTGAGGGGTGCTGGAACTGAGCCATCATTCTCCGCTCGTGCTGCTCATCGAGCAAGACGTAGCCGTAGCACTTGAGCGCCAGCGTCTCGTGACCCGATTCCTGGATGCGCCCATAGGCACGGCACTCGCAGGTAAAAGGCTCCGCATAGTTGTAGAGGGCAGAATATAATTCACGGTACTCTTGCCCTTCCCCGAGTTCCTCGAATTCCTTGGTGCCGCATTCAGGCAGCCCCTCCCAGTCGCAGTCGTTAGGAAACCGAAACTGCGGCTCAGTTCGTCAGCATTGTTCGCTTTCCAAGACTCGGGCGGTCAAGATGCTTCTTTACCAGCTTCAGGGCGTACAACTGGCCCAAGATTTCGACTTTGAAGACGTGTGAGTGAAGACCCTCTCCCATGTGCTCAATAAACTTGATGGCTTGAGGGCCCTGAAAGTCGAAAGGAGGCAGTTTCGGGCCATCTACCTAGAAAAGAGCGCAGTCGGTTAACATGTTGAAGTGGAAAGTTGACCTTCCACCGGTGCACGTGGGGCAACACTGGTACTTGCCTGCGGTAGTGGCACCAAATCGGCCTCTGATTCTGGCCAGTCGGGATACATGTTGGCCGCTGCATAGTCAAGGAAAGGATTGTACAAGGACGAAAAGGGCTCTTGAGCGAGAACTGACCTCTACTTGAATAGCGACATCAATTCTTGTGACGCACGGCGATCAAGAACTAAACACAGTGTAACTAATAGGCAAGTGGACTGGCCCTTTTGGGGAAGACGATGCGTCGCATTACAGTGCGGAATACTGTGGGTTTACTGTGATGCATCAGCTGGGTGCGTGTGGCCAGCACAGGCCAAAGAATCGGGCAGTCTCTTTGTTCCTGACTCGGGGAGGTACTGAAAATAAATACTGATACAGGGCTCTTTTGCAGTTGTTGTATTGAATTATAATGAGTACAATGGAAATCCCTCAACAAAAGAAACCACCCAAGTCCTAGTGATGGTCTTGCTCACCCTCAGTTTATAAATACATCGCGCTAACAAACGTCAACTGGTCGGCCCCATTTTTTCCTACCCAGCGTTTTGTCTGCTCCTGATGTCCGCTCTTTGCGAACATTGAACCTCGGTGGTCTGAGCGTCATTGGCATTATTGGCATGTAGGTCCTTTATTTTATTGGGGGAGGAGACCTGCGCTCAATGAGCAAGTTTGCCGGCTATGCATAGGCCCAGGGTGGCGATCAACTCA